CGTCCCCTGGCGGGACCCGCAGTCCCGGGCACGGGAGGGGCCAGCTGGGGCGCCCTCTCCGCGCCAGAGGGCATTGTCATCTTCGGGCTTCCCTGTTGAGCTCTCCTAGAGCCACTTTACAGATGACGAAACTGAGTCTGCGAGAAAGGAGTGGCTGCTAGGGTTGGCAGAGTCTGGGGTTGACCTAGAGGCTCAGAAGCTCTGAGATCCCCGGAAGGAGGGAAGCTGGGTTTTACTTCGAAGTATCTGAGTTCAAGAATGTGCTAAAGAAGTTTCACCTTCGCTGCCCAAGGTTCTGGAGTTCGAACTCCGGCTTTGTTCCGTGAATGCATTAACTTCGGACTCTTGGATACGCCACCCAGCGGAGTCCTGCCTCTCCCGCGTCCTGAAAGAGCACTTGGGCGGCCGCTGCTCTGCAGGGCTCCACCTGAGGGTGACTCCGCTGAGGCTGCGCTTAGCTCTGTACAGGAGGAAGCTGCAGTCCGGAGGTGGGGTCTAGTTTCTGCTCAGCACGGCAGGTCTAGTTTCTTGCCCCAGCCCTGTTGTATTTGGTTTGTTTAGTTTGATGCACCTCACTCCCTAGGCAGATGCCCAGGGTCCCGAATGTGATGCTCTGGTCAGAGTGCTTTTCTCTGGGTTTGAGGAGGCCGGCCGGCATCATGTCTTTTGGGGACTCGCACAAGTGAGCCCCACCCCTCATAGCAGCTTGAGGAAGGGGTTATCAAGGGCCAGGAGGGGTGGAGGGACCTGCCAAGGTCAGACCAAGGCCAGGGAGCGGCTGGAAGAGCTGACACTTTGTATACAAAGGGTGTTTGTGAGGATTCTCGGTAGGGGGTCTCTAGCTTGTGGTGGGGGGCAGGGAGCTGCTTTCGTCTCTTCTCCCTGGATGACCCCTGGGTCTCAGCCTCCCTGAGCAGGTCCCAGACATGAAGCCCCTTTTTGGAGCCATACAGGGTGACAGTCACCTTTTTGACCCGGGGTGATCACCCCACCTGTGCCTCAGTTTCCCCACGTGCTAAGTAGAAGGCTGTGTGTAGCTGCCCCAGGCTGTGCACTGGCCAGGTGTAGTCTAGGGAGGGCCCTTGTCCTGCCAGCATAGCCATCACCTGAACTCCATCACCTCTGCCATGCAGCCTCAGTCTTTCCTCTGTGAAGTGGGCAGGGCAGTGCAGAGATGGGGCTTGGGACCCTTTAACGATCCTTTGTCTAACACACAGCTAACCCACTGTGGTGAGTTTCTGTTGGTTGAGAGGCTGGGCCCTGGCCCTGCTCCCAAGGTGGCCCCTGTACTCCCTAATCTGGGAAGTTGTCCAGGAACATAGGGTTCCAGCAGCTGGGCCTGACCCCTGGCCATGCCCAGAAGGGTCCTTGGAGACAGCAGGACACATCTTCTCCTGGCTTTACCTCTGCAGCCACAGAGCTGGGCTGTGCCCACTGAACAGAGGGCTAATTGAGGCCCAGTGCCAGTGAATGTGAGAGGCTTGCCTACCCCTTGAGACTGGCTATCCCTCCTGTCTGGCAGTGCTGCAGGATAGACATGACTCTGGAGCTTCCATCCTTCCCCACCCCAGGGATTTGCAGAATCACTTTTCCTCTGTTGGGTTTATCCCAGCCCGGGCCACCCAAGGTGTCAAGGACCCTGAAGCCTGTACCCATCCTCCGTGGGGAGATGGGCTTAGAGAGGGAAGATGACATTCCTGAAGACACACAGCCAGCGGGGTGGGCCTCTCACACTTAATGTTGGCGCCACATGTCCCTGCTGCTGGATTCTGGGAGGTCCAGCTCTCAGAGCATCTGTGTGTGCCTAAGTCACCCCTCTGAACTCTGAGAAATCCCTCCTGAGGTTCCCACTGTGTGTCTGGGGAAACAGACCTGAAGAGAGATCACACAGGGACAAACACTGGAGGCTGCCAAGTCCCTGTAAGGCTGGGCACAGTGGCCCGCCCAACCCCTCACTCACGGCCTCTGCCAGCATAAAAGGAAGCTTATTGAGAAGGTCAGGATGCAGGGGCCATGTGGGCTGCAGGAAGGACTGAAGAGGCTGGACCATGGTCCAAGGTTCCAGATAAAAGATTAACAAACAAAGATCTTTCCCAGACATGGGGCTGGCATCATGAACTGGCTGCAAGGGCTGAAGGATGGGGGCCCTGCCAGATCATACCATGTGCGCCTGGGTGCCCAGCAGAGGCAAGTGGGCTGGGCAGAGGAGTCAGTTGGGAATAGAACCTAAGGGACTCAGGGGCCCTGCTGTGACCCTCTGTCCTCACCACCATGATCTGAGCCAGGAGAGGGTCGGGCTGGGGCCTTGAGTTTTTCTTTTGTTTCCTATATGCATTTAACCCAATCACTTCATTTTCTCTGCTGTTTTTCTTCTTGAAGATTTATTTCTACATAGTGAAAAAAGGGGGTCTTAAAGGTGCCAAAGTAAAAGGGCTCTAGATCTGGGCCCAGAAAACAAGGGATCAGAGCACAGACCCTAGTCAGAGGATGGGGACGTGCAGGGCCCAGTGTCCTCGGGAGAACTGTAGGTAGGGCGGGAAGACAAGACGATAAACCCAGCGTTGGCTCTATACCTCCTAGAGCCAGGTGTTTGCACAGGCACACGGGGTCCTTCAAAGACACCAGAAGAGGGACAGGTGGGATTTGACTCTGGGGCTCCCAGGGCTGAGTGGGGGGCCATGGGTCTCTAGGCTATGCGGGGGGTCAGTGAGGATTGGCTGTGAGTCTCCAGGCTTTGAGGGGTCAGTGGGAAGTAGCCATTGGCCTTCAAGCTCTAGAGTGTCAGTGAGGGGTGGCCAGGGGCCTCTGGCAGGTCTGTGGGCCTCAGCCTCCTCATGTAGGAAATCGGCTTAGCCCAGAGGAAGCTTGGTAGCCCTTCAGGCCCAGGGATGGGTACAGAGACCCTGACAGTCTGGGGTATGGAGGGCACTGGACTGAGATGTTGGGGTGTGGGGGATGGAGGTCTTCAGGGTGCTATGGACCGGAAAGATGGGGACCTGGGCAGGTGAGTGGGTGCTATGAACTTAGGAGAAGGGGGCATGGGAGGTAAAGTTCTCCCAAATGCCACAGAATTGATGTCCTGGGTCCCAGCGCATCTTATGATGCTAGGGACGTGGCTGAATGACCCACCTGTGCAGTGATGCCATGCGCTAGCTTTAAGGTGTCCACAGTTGAGCTCACACCTCCTGTGACTGGAAAGTAGGTCTCCTGTTCTGCAGACAGGGAATCCCCAGGGAGGTGAGGAATCGGTGGCTGGGACATAGCTGCTGCAAAATGTTCAAGTCGGGATCAGACCCAAAGCCCTGGGGTGGAGAGGGCCTGGGCCCTCAGAATTCCCAGCCTGGGCTTTGCAGCCAGTGGCTTGGACTCACTGCACCTCGTGTAGCAGATGGATTAAAGGAAGTTGAGCCTCCTGGCTTCCCTGGGTGGAAGGTGCCCTGAGAAACACAAGGGGGTGAGCAGGTCCAGCCCTGATCACAGGCTCTCCGGCCCCCACTGTTGCTCCTTTCCCCAACACTTGCATTTTATTTTATTTTTATTTATGTACTTTTATAGTAGTTTTTAAAATTTATTTTTTGGTACCGGGCATCGAACTCAGGACCTTGCACTTGGGAGGCAGGCACTGGAACCACTGAGCTAAATCCCTGGCCCTGCATTTTATTTTGAAAGGAGGAACTATTCCAGCAGTACAATTTAGGGCTGGGGCTCTCTGCCTGGTGAGACAGACCCCGGGATGACTGGCTAGAGAGGCAGAGTCTCTCTAGGTCCAGACTCAGAGTGAATTTAAAGCCCCTGTACTTCCTGAGTCTCTGGGAAGCTGCTGTGGTTCATCCTCTTCCCCTGGGTCCTCCCAACCTCAGGCACACACTCCTTCTTTGTACCCTGCCCATGCACAGTCACGGGGCCAGTCCACTTTACTGGGCTGTGCTCTTACGTGGGTCTGTGCTTTTATTATACTCTTTGTTTCGCTTAGCTTTGGGTTTTTTGGAGACAGGGTCTCACCATGTAGCCCAGGCTGGCCTTGAACTCACAGTGATCCTCCTGCGTCAGTCTCTCGAGTGCTTTGATTACATGCGTGGACCACCATCTCTGTCTTATTTAACTCTTTAATGTGAAGTTACATTCTGGGTTTCTTGCAGATCAGTGGGATGGCACTAGTGGGCTCACTTTCTTTGGCTGTGACTGAAGACTTCACCTCTCATCGCCCACATCAGTGAGGCTCAATGATAGGCAGGAAGTCTGCGCTTTAAGATACGTGGCCTCTGGGTTGTGGATGGCAAGTATCATGTGGTGTATCTCAGGCCTGCAGTTGCTTCTAAGAACGAGTAATCCCCCCCCACACACACACATACAGAGCAGAACCTGGCCGCAGAGCACAGGATGTGGCTGTTGACAGAATACAAATTAGTCCAGACATCTCCGTGCCCCACTCTCTCACTCCTAGGTCTGTGCTGGTCTAGCATGTGTTTAGGGGAAGTTGGTGATTGTGGTCTCCTTGCCAGGGCAGTAGTCAACTTATCCAGTCTTCATCCACCATGCTTGGCATTTGCAGAGCATGCTTGAGGTGCTGGATGGACATAGAGATAGAGAGGTACGTGATGGGATGCAGGCCCATGGCAGGAAGTAACAAGGGTTTTACTGGTAAGACCCTGATAAGGCCTGGCCAACCTTCAGCCCAGCTCTTTTGGCTTCAAAGCTGGGCCTGGCTGTTTTAGGGACATAGAAGGCCTTGGCCCAAGTCTTCTTGATGGACCTTTGGCAGTGGTTAGCATGTCTGGGCCTAGGATGGAGTTGCACAGCCACCCTCTCTCACCAGGACCCTCCTGGTCAGGAAGAGAGCATTCCAAGGGCTAGTTCCATGGCAGCCAGACTGCTTGGAAATTTCCCCCAGCCTTGTTGTTTCTTTTGAGCATGCATCAGAGGAGAAAAGATTTCATAACTACACCCCTAGTTCCCTGTACCTCTACATCTGCCCAGCCCCTGCTGGATCACGTACCTCTCCATCTCTTGAGGTCCATCCAGCACCTCAAGCATGCTAGGCAAATGCTCTACCACTGAACTGCACCCCCAGCCCCAGGCATCGTGTCTTTTGGTGACATTCTAGTTTGGCTTTTAAAGAATGAATCCAAGTCTGTTAGTCCCTTCATGGGGCAGCCACAGGAAGGCACTGTGCTGGCCATATAACTGTAAGGGCTCTCACCCCTCTCTGATGTACCCCAAACCTCTGGCACCTAGTGAGCTGGGGAAGGTGGGTCCCTCTCCATGGGCTCAGCTGCAAAGGAATGCAGAAGTTGCAGGGCTGAATGGAGGCCTGGGTAGTATGGCTGCCTGGTGTACTGGGGAAGGGCCACTCGACTGGCCATGGCTGCCCTGCCGTCTGCTGTGGATCCAAAATCCTGTGTCTGCTTCTCTGGCCAGAAGGAGAGTAGGTACAGAATTGGCAAGACCCCGACAAAGCAAAGGGGCTACCATGGGGGAGGGCATCATGACTCCTGTTGGTGAGGTCAAGCTTCTTTCCTTCATTCCTACACTTATATGTCTGTGGGTGCAGATAGAGGTGGTAGTGCATGAAGTGCCCACACTAGAGTCAGGGGTTCAAATCCCAGTTGTACTCCTGGGAGCTGGCTGACCCAAGCCTGGTGAGGGTCAGCCCAAGATGACGGGAGTAGTCTCGGCCTGAGCTTTAGAGAGCTGTGCCTAGCAGACAGGAGTGCTCAGTCAGTGCCAGCCTCCCGAAGGGCAGGACAGCCCCCCAGGTCCTCCCTGCCTGCACACCATCCCCAGAAGTTAGGCACTCCTCCAACCTGGCAGGTTGATCAAGACAAAAGGCAAAAACTTCCAGTATTTTTGTCCTTAAATACACATAAATATTTCTTAATTTAGTTTAAATATTTTTCTTTTGATTTTTAAGAATAGCTTTATTGCATTATGACTCATCAACCGTACAGTTCAGCCATTTAAATTGTATGACTCAGTAGTTTTTGAATATGCAACCATCACCCCAGTTTTGGAAGTAGACCCCGTACTTCTTAGCTGATACCTTCCAATTTTCCTTCCCCTATCCTCTGACAACTACCAATCTGCTATCACTCTGGCTTTGCCTATTCTGGACATTTCATATAAATGGAATCACTCAGTGTATGGCCTTTTGTATCTGACGTTTCACTTATAATGTCCTCAACATTCAACCATGTAGCATCGATGAATTCCTTTTCAGGATTGAGTAGTATTCCACTGTGTAGGTGGGCCACATTCACATTTTGTTATATATTTATTAGTTGACAGACATTCATCTTGGCATTTCAACTCTTTGGCTGTACATATTAACAATGCTCCATTTATATTCAAGTTTTTGTGTGAGCATGTCCTCCCCACCCCATGGGACAGATGTAGCATGTTTTATTTAACCAATCCCCTATTAATTAACATTTAGGTTGTTTCCATTTTCTTTAGACTGAAAACAGTGAAGCAATTGGCATATGTTTGAAAACAAGAAGTATTTCTCTTGGATAGATCACTGGAAGTGGAATTGTTAGATCTGGATGTTTGATATATATATATATATATACATACCATCAAATTATCTTCTAAAAGTCCTTACACATTTGTACTCTCATGACAGTCTACAAGAATGCTAATTTCCCTGAGCACACGCAGACACCTGATACTATCTCGCTAATTCCTAACTACAGCACAGATGAAAATAATCTCTCATTATTTTAACATGCATTTTTCTTATCCCTAGTTTTAAAGTCTATTTTATTAGTGCCTATTAATTTTACAAAATATTGGGTTTCATTGTGGTATTTTCATATAGGGACTTACGTTTTTATTTCTCTAAGAGTAAATGATTATATGGTAATTCTATGTGTTACTTTGAGATCACCAGATCCTTTTCCTAAAGCCACTGTACCATTCACTGGTAGTGAATGAGATTCTAGTTGCTCTACATCACCCCTAACACTTGTTATTATGTCTTTTTAATGCACAGTGGTTGACTTGGTGGATATGAAACATTACCTCATCATGATTTTAATTACATTTCCCTGAAGTTAACATTGAGAATGGTTTCATATACTTATTGATGGCTATTAGTATATCTTCTTTAGAAAAACAGCTATTCACATCCTTTGCTCATTTTAAAAGTTGATTTTTTTTTAATACCAGGAATTGAACACAGGTCCTTGTGCTTGTGAGGCAGGCAGTGGAACCACTGAGCTAAATCCGCAGCCCAAAGTTGATTTCTTTTATAATTGAGTTAGAGTAATTTTTCATTCTAGATATTTTTTTATCAGATACCTGATGTGCAAATATTTCTTTCAATCAGGAAGTTGTCTTTTCACTTTGTTGTGTTCTTTGAAACACAGTGCTTTTAGTTTTTATGAAGTCTGCTTTTTTCTTTTGTTACTTATCTTTGCTTTATCCAACAATCATTGCCTGAGACCACAAGGATTTATCCCTATGTTTCTCTCTAGGAGTTCTGTAATTTTAGATCTTACATGTAGGTCTTTGATTCATTTTAAGTAATTTTTAGAATATGGGATGAGGTAGGGGATCCAACATAATTCTTTTACATGTGAATAGCCAGTTGTCCAAGCACCAGTTCAAAACTATTCCCATTGATATGTCCTGGTACCTTTGTCAAAAACCGGTTGATGGTCGGACCATGGATTTAGCTCAGTGGCACTGTGCCTGCCTCAAAAGCACAAGGTCCTGAGTTTGATCTCCGGTACAAAAAGCAACAATAACAAAAAACAGTTGACTTTAATTGTAAGGGTTTATTTCTAGACTCACTTTTGTTTGATTGCTGTATATGTCTATTCTTATGCCAGTACCACACTGTTTTGATTACTACAGCTTTGTATTAAGTTTTGAATTGGGAAGTAAGTAACTTGTTCTTTTTCAAGATTGCTTTGAAGCATACTGAATTGGTTCAAACTGAATCATCTCCATTGGTTAGGTTCAGTGTTAGTCTTATAGGGAAATGTGATTTGGTTTCCAATTAATTTGGTATGTGACCAGAATTGTGGAAAGAATTAAATTCATGAATGAAATTACCACTGTAATGCTGTCTTAAATAGTATCAACTCTTCTGGTCCATCAGCATGGGATGTTTTTCCATTTAGGTCTTCTTTAATTTCTTTCAACAGTGTTTTGTAATTTTCAGAGTATGCATTTTACACTTCCTTTGTTAAATTTATTCCTATGTAATTTGTTTGTTTTGATGCTATTGTAAATGGAATTGTTTTCTTAATTTCATTTTCACTTTGCTCATTGCCACTACTACACAGAAACACAACTGATCTTTGTATGTTGACCTTGTATCTAACAATGTTGTTCAACTTGTTAGTGCCAGTAGTTTTTTAGGGGATTTCTACGGATTGTCTATGTTTAAAATTATGTCAGCTAAAGGAGATCTTCTTGATCTGGTTTCTTTTCATTTCCTTTTCTTATCTAATTGACCTGCTTTTTGTTTTTTGAGTCATTTTCTTTCCCTGAGTTTATTTTCTTCTTTGTGTGTGTGTATGGGGGGGTCCATAATTCTTTTCTCACTGTCTTATTATTGTGTGTGCTGTTTGCCTAGAAAAGATACTAACCCTATGTAATAAATTGACTTCCCACTTCTTATTCTGCTATCATAAAGTGTGCATCTCACTGTCTCGAGCCTGTCAAGGGATGTTGAGCAGGCGGCCTGCCTCTCTCTCTGAGCCTTGCTGGTAATAATCATGGTTTCTTCCCTGCTGTCCTTGTTAAGAGTGCTGTGTGAGACAAAGAATGTGGGGTGCTTTTTAAACAGAGTATTGCATGCAGGCATGTGTCGCTATTATGGATAGTAATGCTGATGATGAACAAGGAACTTTCAGATTGGTGCTGGCCAGGTCTGAGGCTAGACTTCCCCAGATGCTGAAGGGGCAGGCAAGATGAGGGTGTACTACTGACTGGCGTGTAGCTTCATTGTCCTTGAATCTCGGAGTCTGGGGATGCAAACGGTGTGGCATTTCTTATTTCCAGACTCCCACCCTCCTGCCCTGGTGTGCCAGGCAACTTTTCGCTGTTCTTTGGGGCTCTAGAGGGACTTCCTGATACAGAGGTCTCAGCAGCAGGTCCCTAATGCCTTTGACTAAGTTCCCCTGGGCATGTCCAGCAAGTAGCCCTTCATATATTTGCCTGACTCCATCCAGAAAGGTTGGGATCTAATCCCAATCTGAGGAGTCACTCCTTGACCCTCGCTGACTTACATGTTAATGTTGTTTTTTTTTTTTCATTTGTTTGTTTGTTCATTTGCAGTGCTGAGACTGGAACCTGGGACCTTTGTGAATGCTACCAAGTATTTCTGCCCCTGAGCTATACCCCCAGCCCTTTCTTCTTTTAACCTTTGCCACAGTGATGAGGGAAAGATTAGCTCTCATTTGAATGCAAGTTTCTTTGATTTTTGTTTGGTTAAGCATGTTTTCATGACTGTTAGACATTGGTAACTCTTGCAAATTGCTTGTTCACACATTAGTTCATTTAAAAAAATTGTTCAGCTTTTATCAGTCTCTGTAAATTAAGGGTATTGAATCTCTCTTCTGTTTTCCAAATATCTTTTCCTAATTTTCTTTTCTTCTGAGTTGTTGTTTGCCGTTCAGTGATTATAGAGGAACAAAGTACCTCTCTTACTGTTTTAGATAGTTAAATCTGCTAATCTCTCCCTCTTTCTTTTTTCTTTTTTCCCCCTGATTTCTGCCTTTGGAGCTCTGCATAGGTACTAATTACATATTTGCCTCTATTTAGTTTTCTGACTCTTGTTTCTTCTTCCATACCATAATTTTCAAGACATCTAGATTTTACTTAATGTAGGGTCCGTCTCTGCTTTGTTCCAGCCTGTGGATGACCCCCATGTGACCTTGCCCAGAGCATCCCACAGCCCTTGGCGGGTCTCAGGTCCACTTCCCATGGGCAGTGGCCCCTAGTGGGGCCAGTACCTCCCTTCAGGGGCTACCCACTTGATTGCTACCTTCACCGCTCACCCTGTCTGTCTCCCCAGGCACCTGTGCTCAGCTGCAGCCACCCCCACGAGGCAGCCTACAAGTCCTCCGTGGCAATGGCACTGCTGTGGGGACCGTGCTCGTGTTCCACTGCCCCTCCGGCCACCAGATGGTGGGGTCTGGCCTGCTCACCTGTGCCTGGAGTGGGATCATTGCCAGTTGGTCTTCAGGGACCCCTGTGTGCAAGGGTAAGGGCCCTCCCTCCTGAGATGCCCCAGCTGATCACACAGATGGCAGTGGGTGACCAGTCATAGTCTGGGCCAGTGTCCTGGTCCTGCTCCCAGTGGGCATGTTGCTAGACAGTGGTTAGCAGCCCTCAGAGCTCTACGTCTGTAGAGGGGACCCAGTCTCAGATGCTGGCTCAGGTCCTACTCTGTTCTGCTGTGACACCTGGCTGCTAAAGGCTACAAAGGTGGTGAGCTGAGCTGTTAAGAGTAACCTATGTTCATTCATTCATTTTTTTCATATCTGCCTGCTTGTGGCAATCCCCGAGGAGATAGTCCATATACCAAGAATTCCACGTAGTAGGAGTACAGAGAGCCAGGATGTGTCCTGGAGGTCCTGGTCTTGGGGAAGAGTTGTTTTCTAGTTTTCTAGTTGCTTCCTGATTGACTGACTGACTGACTGATTGATTGATTCATTCATTCATTCATTTATCCATTCTTACATGCATGCATGTAGGACTGAGCCCAAGGCCTTCGCACTGAACAATATCCCCACCCTTTTGATTTTGATACAGGGTCTTGGTAAGTTACCCAAACTAGGCTTGAATTTATGATCCTCCTGCCTCAGCTGGGATGATAGGCATGCACCCCCATGCTGCCTTTAACATACTCATGTGCCGGGTGATTCTCTGAGAGTGAGGGTATCTGTTAAGATTGTGTTCCAAGATGCAGAAAACCCAAAACAACAGGGTTAACGGGTTTAACCAAGATGGTGCTTTCCCTTCAGGATGGGTAACTGGCTGGGAGCTTGCTGCACTGCGTGGAGCCTGGGGTCTGCTGAGGCTCTGTTGGTGTGTCCTTAACCTTGGGACCCCAGGCAGGGGTCTGGGGTGAGGGGCCTCTAGGGGCAAAGGGCACACTCCGCCATCTGAGGGCAGGTCTTTAGACATTGTCCCACATCACTGCCCCTTGCCCACCATTGGCTGGAGCACAGTCACGTCAGCACTACAAGGCTACACCTTTATTCTAGGTGACTAGCATCCAGCTAGGGAGCAGGGGAAATGGGGAGGGGGGACATGAGCTGTAACATCTTAGAATCTGACAGGACTGGTTCTTAGTGACTAATTGAGGTCACAAGGCTGCTAAAGACAAAGGTCCTTTGATCCCAGTGAAGGGCATTTTCCTTGTTTTTACTCCTTAAAAAGTGACCTGAGAAGGCCTCATCTGCTCCACAGCCCCACTTCTGCTCTGTAGGCAGGGCTACATTAGGTAGGGTCTAAGTTCTCTGTCAGAACTTCTCTGACTTGCTACTCTAATCTACATACTCTGTAAACCTTGCCCAAATGCCCTCTCTTGGGGAAGACTTCCCTGAGAGCCCTCTTCTCAAACACAGTTTGCACAGATGACTTACACTGTCAGTGCCTACTGCCTACCCCAGCATGCAGCCCACTGAGGGCCAGTCAGGCCCCGTCAGCCCCTGGTCCCCATCTTCCTCACCCCTGGGGCTGGCAGGTCTGAGTGAGCCACGCCAGGACCTGGTGGTCGTCTCCCTCACAGCTGTGCCGCCCCATGAGACCTTCGGCTTCAAGGTGGCAGTGATCGCCTCCATCGTGAGCTGCGCCATCATCCTGCTCATGTCCATGGCCTTCCTCACCTGCTGCCTCCTCAAGTGTGTGAAGAAAAGTGAGCAGCAGCGCTCCAGCAGGTACGGTGGCCTGGCAGCTTCAGAATCTTCCTGGGAACAGTTTGGACCCTGGGCCCTCTCCACAGGACCACCCGCACCTGCCACTGCCACCCTGGGCCAGCGTCCAGGGGTCCCATAAGCCGCCCTGGTTGGTAAGGGGGTTCTTATGGAAAGCTGCCCTGGCCCTTAGAGTGGCAGGCAAGGAGCATGGCAGCTGTTGTGGCACCTGGCCTCTGTGGTCCTTAGGTTGTGGGCATACAAGGAGCCGTCTTAGTCTTTTTTTTTTTTTCTTTCCCCAGTACTGGGAATTAAACCCAGGGCCTTCCCACTGAGCTCCATTCTCAGCCTTTTAAAAAAAATTTAATTTTATATTGAGACAGGGTCTTCCTAAGTTGCCCAGGTGGGACTCAAACTTGTAATCCTCATGTGCAGACCCCAAATTCTGGGATTACAAGTGTGTACCATCGTACCCAGCTTGTCTTATTCTTAAACCTGTGCACATACGGCTCGTACCCTGCTGTGTTAGCGGCATTCAGAGCTGCCATTCCCACCTTGAGTAGGGACTGAGGGTGAGTGAACCCACAGGTGAAGTATGGCCCACCGAGGCTCTTGCCCCTGCAGTAATGTACTTTTTTGTTGTCCTTTTTTCTTATTGTGGTAAAATCTACACAACATAAAATTCACTATTTTTGCTTGAAGTGTTTAGCTCAAAGGCACTAATTGCCTTGGCCTTGTTGTATAGCCATCAGCGCCATCTATCACTAGAACTTTCCACCGCCTGGCTTTGTAAGTAGCTGTTACTGGGACACAGCTCATCACTTACTGTCCTTGGTTGCTTTTGGATGGCGGAGTTTAGCTGTGGCCTGTATCCCATACAGTTCCCACCATCTGGCTCTTGCAGAAGCTGCCCACACTGAGAACCTGCCCTGGCTTTGTGTGGATCCTGTTTCCGCACCTGTGCCACCCTCAGGGATGTGGGTCCCTGCTCAGTATCCTTCCTCCTGAACTCTCTCTTCCAGGGCGGTCCAGATGTGGTACCAGCTGAGAGGCGAGGACCTGGAGACAGTGCAGGCTGCATACCTTGGCCTCAAGGGTCAGAACTACAATAACAGCAGCAGTGGCAGTGGCAGCAAGCCTGGAGGCTGGCCTAGCCAAGTGCACGACAACCACAGCTTCACCACGTAGGTCTCTGGGGTCTCTGTGCTTGGGAAGGGCCAGGGATGCCGAGCAGGGCCATTGGAATCATAGGACGGTCCTGGAGCACCCGCCACCTGCTGAGAGGCCTTGCACCTGGCCTCCAGGGGCCTCCACCCCTGACTTGAAAACATGAGGCCAGCGATGCTTCTAGAACCCTGTCCGGGCTGTAGGAATAGCAAGGTCTGCCAGTACAGGGTCTTCTCCCCCAGCCCCAGGGTGAGGGGTCCTGCTCCCTCCTCATCTCAGTTTCTGACTCTCTCCACTTTCTGTATCTTTCTCTCTCAATGCACATGTACATTTTTTTTCCTGAACCAATAAAACGTTGCTTCTTTTCTGACCCTGATGCTGTGTGGCATGTAGAGAAGAGCGTATCTGTCAAAGATGATCACACTTTGGTCCAGAGTCACATGCAGCACTCAGCCACCAGGTCTCCTGGGTCTTTAAACTGGAATGGGCTTTGTGGCCCGGACTTTCGGTGTATCCTGTCTAGTGTTCAGAGACCCCTGTATGAGTCTGTCATGTTTCCATGAGACCAAGCTAAGGTGTGCATTTCTGGCACATGAGCAGCGTGTGCAGGACACGGATATGGGCTAGGTTACCACTGTGGGGGACACAGCTGGGGTCCCTGGTCTGAGACAAGGCCCCCAGATCCTTCCACCACTGGGCATGAAGAAGGGGCTGTGATCCGAGAGCCCTGTGCCCTGGGGTGATCCTCAGGGCTTATAGCAGGGTCACTTGTTAATTTTCTTTTTGATACCAGGGATCGAACTCAGAACCTTGTGCTTGCAAGGCAGGTGACAGCACCACTGAGCTAAATCCCCGGCCCCTCATAGATATTCTTTTCTAGAACTTTAATTTTTGGAGAATTCACAAATATGCAGAAGTGGAGAAAACCTTATCCTGGATCTCCTACCCTGCCTCCCATCTTTAGGGATCCCCTCCACCCTCCCCTTCCTCACATTCTGTCTGGGGGTCCAGTTGTCTTTTGCAACAGGAGCCCTGCCAAGTTGCACGTGTCATTCTGCTATGTCCCTGACATCCCTGAAGCATTCCTCCTTTGCATCCGGGCTCATCCTGTGCCTGCTGTGCCTGGCTCATGGCTGCTGTGGGTCCCACAGAGGCTCCCAAGGCAGCAAGCACTTGCTCCCAGCACGGTGGCCTCTTTATCTTTACGGCTTCAGTTTCCTTATCTGTGAGACTTAAATAGTGCCTGGGGCCTGGTACCACTGTGATGTCCTAAGTCCAGGCCCAGGCAAGAGCTCAGTGAATACTGACAGGCCTGGGGTGGGGAAACAGCAGCCTCCATGTATCTCCTTGGCAAGAGGAAACAGTGCCCCAACCCTTGGGGCAGCACCTGACCTGAGTCCACTGGTGGCTGGGCCTGGGCACCTGGTGGCTGAACCCCACCCCCATCTTCCCACATGTCTCATGCCTCTTGTCCCCACAGAGACCTCAGTGAAGGCATCCGAGAGCTGGCTAGCATGACCCCTGGCATGGACAAAGATCCCTGGACTCCGGGACCCAGCACTCTGAGTCCAAGTGACCCTTCCAGCTCCTCATATGCTTGCGTGGTCATCCACACAGTGAACCCACCTACCTCCACACCCACCGCAGAGATGACCTCTCCACCTGCAGCAAACCCACCAGGGTGACCCTCCCAGCCGGTTGCCTGCAGCTCCACTTGTGTCTAGCCTGGAATTGGCCAGTGAAATCAGCCTCCAGGTGCAGGGGCCCTGCAAGGAACATTCCAGAAGGAGCTGGGCTATAGTAACTTTAATGACTCACTTGAGCTGGCTGCTAAGGTTAAGTGCTAAGGCAGCCTCCCTCCAGCCAGGGCTCCTCTAAAGAGACTGGGAGACATTTTCAGCAGATCTAGTTTTGCACATTAGAATAAGAAAACAGAATAAACTTCCTTTTGGCAAATTCAGCTAGCCCCCTCAGTATCCCCCTGGGAGGATTCACTGTCTTGAAGCAAGGACCTCCCCAGGGCTCTGTACCTAGCATATGTAAAGTGCAGGTGAGGGAAATAAGAGTTATTTCTCCTACTGAAAGTTACAAAGGTAAAAATCACTGTCCCAGCTTCTCATTCCTACACACCCTGAAACATAGCAGCACAACACCATAATAATGTGTTATTACCTCTTGGTGCTGCAGGCTTCTCAGGCATCTTGCTGGGTGGTCCCTACTTCTCTCACGTAGCAGGTGCCACCTGCTGATGACTACAGTGGGGTCATATTGAAGGGTGGGTCTCTCATCTGGAGCTGCTGATGGTAATCGGTAGAAGCTTCAGGGAGTCTTGGGGGGAACATCCACCCTTCCACCCTCCCTCTGTGCTGCCCCATGTGTCTTGGGCTCCCTTCCAACATGGCACCTGGTTTCTAAGGTGACAGTCAGATATGAGCACCAGGTAGTGGCTGTTTCAGTTTTTCGCTCCCAGCCTCAGAAGTCGCTCTCTGTCACTTCTGCTGCATCCTGTTCATTAGGAGTCCAGGTGGCCCCATAATCAAGGGGTGGGGCTATGGACCTCCCAGACAAAAGGAATGCCAAAGAAGTAGCAGGTACTCAAACCCATCCCAGGAGCAGGGAACTGTGGCACACATCTGTAGTCTCAGCTATTCAGGAGGCCAAGATGGGACAATCACTTGAGCCCAAAAGTTTGAGAGCAGCCATCCCAACAGAGTAAAACCTTATCTCCAAACAACAAAAACAGCCACAGGGCTGGAGTTTAGCTCAACGGTAGAATACTTGCCTATCATCATATGGCCCTGGATTCCATCCCCAGCATATCAAAAACAAATAACAAATAACTAAAACTATTACCGTCATCTCTAAGCTAGCTTCTTATTAAACAATTTTATAAAAAGGAACACCAGGTGAGTATGGTGGTACAAGCCTATAATTCCAGCACTCCAAGACCCTGTGGCAGGAGGTTCACAAGTTTGAGACCAGCCTAGGCAACAGCAACCTACTGAGACCCTTTCTAGAAAACGTTTTGAAAGGAGGGACTGGGAATGTTACTCAGTGCAAAATCCCTGGGTTCAATCCCCAGTGTCATCAAAGGGGAGAGGGCTGACTCTTATCCTCCCACCCTCACTCCCAAAGGGAATAGCTCCTGCTGTGTGGGTGTATGCAGCTGGTTTTAGATCTGGTCCTGGACGTTTGCTCCTGCTGCTGCCCCTTTTGGTTCTGTTTAAGATGAGCTCAGGCTCAGTCTCTCTGAACTCTGAACCCCACGTTTGTCCTAGGTCAATTAAAAATGTACCTGTGGTGGACTGGGGATTTAGCTCAGTGGTTCCACCACCTGCCTCAGAAGCACAAGGACCTAAGTTCAATCCCTGGTACCAAAAAATACACCTGTGGGGTTGGAGGTTTAGCTCCATGGTATAGCACCTGCCTTTCCATCCCGATACGGGGTGGGGGCGGATACATAGGTTGTGTGTGTGTGTGCGCGCGTGTGCACGTGCCTGCGTGTGCGCAGCCTCCCCTCCCATGACTTAGGGTATGGCCTGTCTCTGTTCATTGAGAAAAGTTAAAGTTCCCCTGCTTCCTGCCACCTTAGGGCCATTAGGAGGAACTAGAAGAGGAGCAGCTTCCTTCAGCCCTCACTGTCTCTTGCCTACTGGGTTGACATTTGTCATGTTTTTGTGTCCCTGACAACCAAATACCTGATAGAGGCTGCATACAGAGTCTGATGGATAGCCTGTGATTGATGTGACTAATCACCAGCTGAGGGACACCTGGGTGTTCCACTTTCTTTGATGTCACATTTGTGGTCTTGATGGTCTTGATGCCCTCCATGTTGGGCTGCCCTTTTCATTGGTAGATTTCCAGTGTAGGCTTGAAAGAGCAGGGGGTACATTTGGTTTTTCTTGTCCTGCTGGGGGTGGGGGCTTGTGGGACAGCAGGATGCAGAGGAGGACAGAGCAGAAATGGCCCCAGCAGCGGGGGATCTGCCCCAGCTGAGCAGGCCCCACTGCCAGGCAGACCTGCATGCAGGACTCAGAAACCACTGAGCCCCAGGGACTGCAGGGATGATGGCCAGGGCCTGACATGTGCAATAAAAGACTCTGGGTTCCAGCTCCCACCAAGCCCCCTCTACACCACTCCCAAATTGGAGCGGTGGGAGCCAAGATGGCAGAGGCTATAGACCCTACCATACAGGGCAGGCTGGGGGCTGAGAGGCCTGTTGTGAAGGTTTGGGGCTGCAAGGGCAGACCAGTGTTTGTCTCTTGAGCTAGCAGAGCAGAGGAGGAGAGGACTAGAATGAAGGGCTCTAGCTCAGACTGGAAGTTATAGAAATGTGTGTCCACATGGCTACCAAGGGGCTACAGTGGGCAGAGAGGCAGGAGGAGAAGAAATGACAGGGCAGAGCTGCTGCCCAGGAGAGCCATACATCAGACCCCAAAGTCTGCACCATGGCTGTGGATTGTGCTGGACCTGTGAGCTGAGTCCTCCCACAGGGTTTGAGCTGTGGGACTCTGCCTCGGGACAAGGTAGGGGGCAGCTGGCCTCACCTTCCCCCAAAACTAGATGTCTCGTTCCACTAGTACTGGGACAAGAGGGGGACTATTTGCCACCATGATTTTCTTGCATTTTGTAGATGGACTTCAGGTTGCTGTCCACGAAGGCCTTAGATACTCATCCCTCTAGCACAAGTACCTGGTGGTTGCATGGCTCCTGTCCACATTTAACTTCTCAGCTCAAAATCCCAAGTAGCAGTAACATCTGTTGTTATCTTGTCAGGATCACTGAGGTTGTACTGTGGAGGCAAACAATCCTCCAAATCTCAGGGGCTCAAATAACCAAATTTCCTGCTCACAGTGAAATTCCCAGAACCCATTAAGGGTGACACAGCCCCCATTCCAGTGAAAGTGTCCACAACTGGGGGGTTTGTACCAGCCATAAAATGTTCTGGTGTGAAGGAAAAGTCATGTTACTTCTCATGATGGCCTTGACCAGACCGAACCTGTGACCCACCCAACCACTAAGTCATGGGGGTGGGGGGTGTCACTCTTCCAGGGGAGCCAAAGGAGGGGAGCCAGACAGCCATGAGCAAACCCAGGGTTACCATGTCAGCCTCCTTTCTTCAGCTTCAAGTACTTTGAGACCTGATTCTGCTCTCTCAAATTTGGTGATGGTGAGACCCAGGATTTCAGTGGGTATGAAAGCAAAAGCATCAAAGAAATGAGTCAGCCTTATATACTGGAAAGCTGCCTTTCCAACACCAGGGGGCTGCACAGTTAGAGGGTCCAGCACAGAGGAGATGTTGCTATTCAGCAGAATATCCCCCATACCAGGATAGCAGTTTGTGGGGGGATTGTGTCTTGTGTATTGATTCAACAATTTGGTCACCTCTCTGTTCATCTTTCTCGTTACCCTTATGTACCCTGGTTCTTTCTGTGCAGTTGCTGGTCTCAGCCAGGTGGATCTCCTTCATGGTAGCTGACATCTTCCAGAGATGTTCTTGCTCCCAGGTCGGGCAGTTGAGGGCTCACTGTTGTCTGGGACCTTGGTGGGGTCTCTCCACTGAGCCTCCTTCCAATGCAGTAGCTGGGTTTCAAGAATCAGTATCCTGACAGTCAAAGTAAGGATAGCCGTTCCTTCAGGCCTGGGCCCAGACCCTGCTGCACTGGTGGAGCAGCCCCAGAACTCTGATCTGGATGCTCCCAAGTCTTGTGTGACCCTCATCATTAGCCAGCCCCAGAGCTTTTCCATCTTCCCAAACTGAAACCTAGTCTCCAACCTCCCAATCTCTGGCAGCCACCGTCCTACTGTTTTCTGTGAATTTGACTATGCTAAGGGCCTCATGTAAGTGGAACCATACAGTACTTTTTCATTTTTCAACAGATTTATTTCACTTAGCACAGTACCCGCAAGGGCAGCGCTCCCCAGCCTTTTTGGCACGGGGGTCAGTTTGGTGGAAGACAAGTTTTTCAGACATGGATTAGCTTCTCATAAGGCACACACTTAGATCTCTTGCATGCAAAGTTCACAATAGGGTTCATCACCTATGAGAATCTAATACAACCAGGGATCTGACAGGAGGCAGAGCAGAAGTGGTAATGCAGGCACTAGGGAGCAGCTAGCACTATAGGCTGGGGCCATCATGGAGGCTGGTAGCCTCCCGAGTAACCTCTGTCTCTTACTCAGCCCGACCCTCTTCAGAGCTCTTATCAGTGACTCCACACAGCTGTGCGTTTGTGTCCTTTGCTAATGGAGGAAACTACGGGGAGCAGGGCTCCCTCTGCTTTCCCTGTGATCTATCTCTGGGTTAGGGGCATGTTAGAGACATTTGTTGAATGAATTAGTGAAGGAATGAATGGATAAATGGAGCCCCCTGGCCACAAGAGAATGTGGAAGAAGATGTCGTTCCTTCCCAGTGCTCCTGTCCCTCTTCACACACCATCACCTGGTTGCATGTTATGATCAGTTCTTTCGGCACAGACCTCCTGTCCCCCCGACCCTGCCCTGGGCCTGGGAATACCCTCTTTAGCCTTAGCCTCTCAGGAAGGTCACCCCGGCCTCATCACCCTGTCTTACAGTGTCTGTTCTTGCCCTTCTGTATCTCACCCCAGTTGACAACAGAATTATTCATGTGCTTTCATTAAGCCTACTGTGTGCTAGCTCCTATGGGGTAGGTGCGGCAGACAACAGTCAGGCCATGATAATTCTTTGAGGAATAGAGGCTTGTGGGGGCTCCGGTACAAAAGACGTGGACCAGAAGAGGTGACACTGGGGCAGAGCCCGAGGGAAGGAAAAAGGCAGGGAATTAGCAAGAGCAGTCTGGGTAGAGGGCCCAGCACGCACAAAAGTTTGGAAATCCAGAGGGGCTTCTGGAGGAATGGGAAAGCTGTGAGCCCAGGGGTGACAGTGCAACTCAGCTTCGGGGACCCCGTGGGTGCCGTGTGGGACAGGCTGTGGGGACAGGACAAGGCACGGAGCCAAGGAAGGGAGGTGGCTGGCACCTTCCAGGTAAGCAGTGGGGAAGGGGAGTGGGATATGGGATGTGCTGGGAAGGGAGAGCCGACCGGCAGGGAAAGAGCAGGCAAGCAGATCCTGGAGTAAGGAGGGGCTGAGCTGGGGAGAATCAGGGATGTGCCCCACCTGCCCGGTGCAAAGCACCTGCTAGGGAAGGCGTTCCCCTACACAATCTTACAACTGGTTACTTTTGATCAGATAAAGCATGCCATGGTGACTAACTGGGATGGGGCTGTAAGACCAGGACGTGTGACCTTGACCAAACTTTCGTTGGGCCCCTGCATCTTCTCCAAGGCCCATCTATGAACTCTCTTATTAAATATCCAGGCTGAGTGAAGAATGTTGCAAAGTCAGTTTAGCCAGAACCTGCCACCCTCCCTTTCTGGCTCCCCTTGATAGCTGATGGGGTTCCCACTCGCCAACATCCCAGGTGATACCTGGCCTGCCCTCACCACCAGTTCCGTTAGCCCAGTGTCTCAACACATTTTCTGTTGCTCTAACTGAATACTGGATTGTTTTGTAAAGAACAGTGTTGTATTTAGCTCATGAGTTTGGAACATGGCTCCAGTGTCTCCTCAACATCTGGTGGACTTTCTAGTTAGTTCATGGCACGGAAGAGGCCACCACAAGGTGAGAGAGAGCAGTCTCGCTTTTATAACAAAGGCACTCCCTGGCTAACCCATTAATCCTCTAACCCAGAACAGATTAATCCATTTGTAAGGATAGCACCCTAATCACCTCTTAATTGTTTCACCTGGTCACACCTAAAAATACCTCACAATGAAGATTAAACTTCAACATTAAGTTTTTGTGGGGACATTGAAACCATAGCAGTCGGTTTGGCTGGATTCCTCCTATTCTTGGTGTCTCCTCTTAGTAATATTTCATCCACCTGGTTCCCACCCCACTCCCTGGTTCCTAGTCCCCACTTGTCCTTGCTGTCCTATTCACAGATGAGCCCAGTTCTATACTGAAATCTCCTCCCTCTCCCCTACCGCAGAGGCTGTGAATAGTCTCTTTCGGGTCATGACCACTGGGTCCAGTTCTGGTTTTTCTTTGACAATATCCAAGGACTGAGCTTCCAACTGCTCTCCAGGAGGTGGGTGACAACCTCAGCTGGTACCCTAGAAATCTGCACAGAATGATTCCTTTGACCCCAGTGTGAGGCCCACAGAGCCCAAGGAGCAGCAAGCCCACCACCCTTGTGGCCTGCAGGAGCTTAGTTTCCATCAGGGTGCAAACAACTGAAGCCAGCCAGAAGGCAGGACAAACAGCACAGCACCCACCTCCACATCTCACATTCTAGGGAAGAGAAGGCCCAGGGCCCACACCTGGACCTTGCGGGTGTTGGTATCCGTTTGCATGCCTGGAGTAGGCACTGGGGGTTGTGCCTGGCTGAAGCCTTTTTTTTTTTTTTTTTTTTTTTTTT